ATGAGCAAAGCAGAAGACATAACCTTTGTAAATGATTGCTGTTGTTTGCAGACAATTTTTGTTTGCATTTACGTTTAAAGATAGTAGGAAAAATGAAGTGCAGTGTAATATCCTGCGATAAGAAAGTGAAATTTAAATTTCCTTCTGATAGTGTGATAAAAAAAAAGTGGCTCGAAGCAATTGGGAGACCAACATTTTTGCCGCTCCCAAGTCATGGCTTATGCCTCGACCACTTTGCCTCCACGAGTTCTGCTTTTCTTCCACTGACTCTTGCTCCTTTCCCTTTTAAAAGCTTTTTCAATTCTGAAACTTTTAAGCTCCCATAATATTCTTTCTTGTCTTCCTTATTCATTTCAAAATTTCAAATATTGCGCTTTACCACTACATTTTACTTTCCTATGTACATACAATACTGAAAAGTAATGTTGTGTGAGTGAGACGGCCATGACAGCCGCGACGTGCCCTGGCGCCATCTGATTCAAGCTTGACGGTAAAAGAGCGTCATAAAAATAAATTTAAAAAATGTAGAACCACGAGATGGATTGGAGTTTTAAATTATTAAAGATGTATGAGCAATAAAAACGGTATCACATTAAATTGTAGGTCATTTTTATTGAAATCATTCAAAAAGATGTGGAAATAGATAAAATGACATAAAAATAATAATTTTTACATTTAATTATCATTTTAAAAAATTAGAAAAATAAATTTAATCTAGAACGCCTCTACAATAATAACTCATGGACATGATCAGGCAATGCTATATATTATTTTATTATATTTTCATATGAACATTGAAGTTGACTCATACATTGTCAAAAATCGAAATATACAAACTACTGCTTTTAAAAAAATAGCGTATTAAGCTTAAACATTCATAAATAATTTCGCATCGAGTTCAAATAAAGAGAATCACATTCATTAAAAAAACAGTTCCTTCGACGGATGAAAATACGTGGAAGAAAAAAAAAAAACATTCTTTATTTTAATTTATGTCTTTTTTAAATTTTTTACTCGGAAATCTTTTCCTTATAACGTTTTCAATTGTAACATTGGAAAAGTTCTTCTCATATTCTTGGGGATGCTGCTGCTTGACGTGACGACTCCAGCTGTCCTTGTACGTGGAGCGAATCGAACAGAACGGACACTTGTAAACGAGTTTTTTTGAGCACACGGTTTGATGGCGGTAAAGTGAATTCTTTTTTAAATATACTTTTTGGCAATTCCGACAGGCAAAGGCCGTCATAGGCTCCTTCAAATTCTCTGGAACACAAGTAATCAGAATAATTAGACATATTTTATTGACTGATTTTTGTTGTATGCAACATTTGATCCATCTGATCACTACTGATGACACAAAGCAATAAGGTAATTAGCCGTGAAAATTATGGAGGGCATTGTGGAATTTATTGTATTTTTATAAAAAACGTACATCATATAAAGCTTACGTGAAACAATTAAAACAAACGATGCATGCGTTAAATTAATGAAAGTGATTGAAAATCTAGCTTTTAAAAAAGTCTTGTATGATGTTCATTGCGATGAGCAAACAGTATGGATGACTTGAAAGCGACGTAAGGGCAGTGTGGACACTTAAATTCTGGCGCCTCGCATTTGTGCTTCAAATAGTTACACCACATTTTGTAGAATTTACTGCACTTGGTACAAGTGTAGCCGAACACTTTTTCACCGTGGTAAATCTTAGTGTAGGTGTCAACCCTTTTTACAAGTTCTGTAAGGAAACATGAATTCATTAGTTGAAATGTGTTTGTTTTTACAGCTGAAAAAATTGTTTTAATATGCACAAAATCACAAAATTTTTTTAAGCATTAGGAGAATAAGAATTAGATGTCAAAATTATGCAGTTAGTAAAGACTACAATTTTCCCTGTAAGGTATGACTAATACATTGTAGACACTGAAGAAAAAACTGTCATAACATATGTAGGATTACTCATCATTTATAAAAATACTTTTAATTTATTTTAATTAGATTATTCTTTATAAGATATGAAAAAAATGTCTTTTTTTTTTTTTTTTTTTTTTTTTTTTTTTTTTTTTTTTTTTTTTTTTTTTTTTTTT